AGGGGGGGGGGGTCAGGTTTAGATTTGTTGATGTTATACTGTGTTTATATTATGGATGTAGCCCTATGGGGTTCCTTAAAATGGGGAGGCTCTTCCTATAAAATGTGACACCTTTGGTTGGCTCTGAACCTTGATTTATATTTCTTTAATCCCATATAGCCTCAAATTAAAGCCCAAGGGCAAATATTTTCAAACAGTCTGAGGGCATAAGTTTTGTTGTCCTTATACACTGTTTACCCTCTATTTCAGGCTTTCATAAAAATAATTGAGCTATTTCCATTATGTTTTTAGCTCTTTGATCTTTTCAAAGTTATTTTTAAAAAAGTCTTGTCCATCATTTTTATTGTTTTCTTCTGAATTAACTATACCATAAGTTTCAGAAATGAGCTCTGCCTAATGTCTTGTCAATATGAAGATTAAATTTTGCCATAGTTTCAATGATATATTAGGCTATTTTTTCTTTGAGTTCATTTAATCCAGTGTTCCATCCATGGGGTAATATGTCCAGACAAATCAATGATCTCCCTTCCCCGCTAAAGTATAATCTCTTCACAGAGAGGGCTATTTTCCTATTGCACCTAGAAAAAAATGTGTTGAAGTAAATATAGATGAATGAGTGTTGAGTAAATTAATTAATGAATTTCAGTCTGTTATTTCATCATCTTTGCCTAAGGCTCATGTGAAGGAATGTCATTGGTAAACTCTAATTTACATACAGAATAATAATTCAAAGGAGTCTGTAAAATCAAGTTTTAATCTTTCCAGGCCCTGAATTTTTAAGAAGTTCATAAAAGGAAGTAGGAATAGCCCTGGCCAATGTGGATCAGTGATTAGAGTGTCAGCCTGCACTCTGAAGGGTATCAAGTTTGATTCCCAGTCAAGGACACATATTTGGGTTGCAGGTTTGATCCCCGCCCCCATTAGGAGCATATGCAGGAGGCAACCAGTTGATGTCTCTCTCTCACATCCATGTTTCTCTCTCTCTCTCTCCCCCTCCCTCTCTTCTTTCCACTTTATCTGTAAAGCAATGGAAAAAACATCCTCAGGTGAGGATAACAAAAACAAAAAGAAAAGGAAGTAGGAATGGATGACAGATACCATAGCATGCTTAGGAAGCATTACTGGTTCAAAGGTTCTTGTCCCAGCAAATGAATTCATTACTTTATTGCTTTGGGGGGCTAAACTTTCTGTAAAAAAAGAATTCTTTGAGCTACAAAACACACCACCAATATGAAGAAATTAAATATGCTCTGCTAGTAACTAATTAAATCAGACTATTAATTTGACCCTGTTTGCTTCTAATGGGCAATGGAGGCTACAAGTGTGGTCTGAATGGGTATGATATACACTACTAATTATACTCAAATACATGTCTCCTCCCCTTATTTATTACTAATACACCTCCAATTTTTTAGCTGCCCATGTGGATATGTGGGCTATAGATTATATTTCCCAACTGCTCTTGTGGCTGGGAGTAAGTGATCTTTTAAATAAGTTATATCCAAAGAGATATGAGCACAAGTGCCGTGGAATGCTTCATGCAAGTAGTCTTTAAAAAGGAAGGCACAGCCTTTCTTTCTCCTACTCATTGGTCTGGATAGAAATATAGTGGCTGGATATTAGACAGCTATCTAGGACTATGAGGTTAAGGACAAGTCCTGCAGATGGTAAGCAACAAGATGGAACTAGACTGGGTCCCAGGTATGAAGTGCAATTCAGCTACTAGTTTCCTTTTATGAGAGAAAAATGAAATTATATTTTGTGTAAGCCATTGTTGTTATGGGTTTATAGTTCCAGACTGAAATTATATAGAACATATTTATATATAGAAGTTATATAGAATGTAATTCTTGCTAATATAGTAAGCTTTTAATAAAGTGATATTTAAACTAAGAACCAAAGAATGAAGAGAGAAATTGTGAGACATGCATATTTTAGAAATTAAGGTTTATTGAGAACAGGTAAAACAAAGATTTAAGAAAAAAACACTTGTTATTAATATCAGGTGACAAAATAAGTGATTGCACCTAAGAAACAACTACAGAAATAGGGCCCTTGGAAAATATGAACGTATACCTGGCCGGGCATGGCTCAGTGGTTGAGCCTCGACCTAGGATCCAGGCGATCGGGGTTCGATTCCTGGTCAGGGCACATGCCCAGGTTGTGGGCTCGATCAATGACTCTCATTATTGATGTTTCTATCTCTCCCTCTCCTTTCCTCTCTCTGAAATCAATAAAGATATATTTTTAAAAAAAGGAAAATATGAACGTAATAAATGAAAATCTAAATAGAAAGGCTTGAAGATAGAGTTAAGAAAATATCCCAGGTAATATTGCAAAAATATTTAAAAATAGCAAACTGGAGAGGGGAGGGGAAACAGAAAAATAAAGAAATTAGAGTCTGGCTGGTGTGGTTCAGTGGTTGAGCACCAGCCCATGCACCAAGAGGTCACTGGTTCCATTCCTGGTCAAGGCACATGCCCAGGTTATGGGCTTGATCCCCACCAGGGGGCGTGCAGGAGGCAGCTGATGGATGATGTTTCTCTGTCATGGATGTTTCTATCTCCCCATTTCCCTTACTCTCTCTCTAAAAACAACTACCACCACCACAACAAAAAACACATATTTTTTAAAAAGACATAGGTCTCCAGGTCCTCTCCTAGAGATGATTTTTAAAAGAAAGAAAGAAATTAGAGTCTATACCAGAGGTCCAACATCTGAATTGTAATAATTCCAAAAAAAAAAAAAAAAAAAAAAAA